GTCCAGATGTAAATGGCCTTGTAGTTTACTAAGAGTATGTTGACTGCGTCCTGATTGACGGGGTTACCGGTAGTCTGGATGCGCTGCAGCAGGTCCTCTAGTCGCTGTTGCCACGCGTCTAGCCTTGTTTGAAGTTTCGCCTGTTCAATGAGCTCGTCGATACCAATCTGAAATGCATCCGCTTTGGGACCGGTTGCGCGAATGAAACGGATGCAGGTGTCTGATATATCGAACAGTCGCCGTCTGGCACTATCAAGATCTTTATGAGGAGACTCTGCTTCATTCGAATGTGCGTATATCGCTGGGGTTACCCTCCCAGCAAGACAACACAGTACGCTAAGACGCGAGAACATTGGAACAATATAGTCTTCGATGTCGTTGAGATCCTGAGCCAAGAACCCTGAGGTGGAGTCTTGGGATCTTTCACCGTTGGGGCGGAGAGGCTCCAGAATGCTGAAACCACTATGAATGTGAATCATGGAAGATTCGGCATTGCCCCTGAGAAACTCAATGCACGTGAATAGAAGACAGCAAACCAAAGGAACCAAGATAGAGTTGGGGTGAGTCTCAATCCGCGCTGACAGAGACTTAATTGCGAAACTCCATTCTTTCCGAGCCTCGGGGTTGGCATTGACGAAGCCTGCCGGATGCTGCAAAGATGATTCGACGTCACGATAGATGAGACTGATGGCGGATACCGCGTGTCGAATTGAAGGTTCAGAATGCGATAGTTGCAAGACAAGCTTGCTCCAGAACTCGGAGTCGAATTGTCCATCTAAAGTTGAGGCAAGATTCTGTGAGAAGAAATCGAGGCCGCTGTTACTTGAGACGAATACTGGTTGACTTTTCGTAGGGGGCAAATAGACCGTGATGACGTTACGGCGTGGCGGTGCCGCGCGTGTTGTTCTATAGTCGCATTTCCGATTTCCAATAGCGCAACGTCGGCAAATTGGTTTTCCTTCATCGCATTTGACTCGGCGGGCTTTGCAGGTGCTGCATCCAGTTCGGACTTTGGACGTGCTTTCGCGGACTCGCTTCTCGGGGATCATAGTACACGATTATGCCCCAAGCCCTTGATCTCCAAAGATTATGGCAAATGACATGTGGCAAACAAAACAGCATAAGGTCAAAAGTACACCTTCGAGAATGTGATGAGATAGCGCGGGTCGCTTAAATCGAAGGCAGCGGCAAGCTCAGTGCCAGAGAGAAATTTCAAAGGAGACTGTCACACTGTCAGCAGCTGATGGGGATGACGTGTCTCTATGTACTCCGCCGTTTTTTCTTAGTCCCTTCCATTCCACTGCGCCCCGTATCCACATTAAAGTCCGTCGGTCGTAGGATTCGTGGCTTGGTTCATGTATCTTGTCTTTCGGCAAGCTGACCAAAACTCAATAGGAACATGCTTATTGCTAGCGCGTCCGTTGGTATATGGTCTGTGCTCGAGCATTGTTTCACCTGTAAGACAGATTGAGCTAATGAATGATTGTTAAATCGTTGTCAAGCGTTCCCAACGCAACGCCGTCGCCTCCAGCCCTTTGGTCCACTTTCCAGAGCTACGGGCATGCGACTTAAGTATTCTTCAATCAGAGTTGTTCCAAAGTAAGGTATTAAATATGGAGCAGCTCATTCTGTATCGTCAAAAGAACATTCCAACTCCCTGACTCTGGAAACGAGGTGCGGTTGAGTAATCTGCAACTCGGGCGGACGTGAACTCGGCCTTACTTTGACCATGCACTTTCTTTCGCCATCAAGGATCTGAAGTCAATGCATACTCTCACCTAATTGGTTGTAGAGGAAACCGCGGATTACAGTGTGTATCCATGGAGAGGCCGCGGCGGCCGCTCTGTTTATTATTGTTGTATCACAGCTGCCATACAAGTATCCAACGCATTGCTATTATCCCAACACAACTTGTCCTGTTCGAGTTGAGACGGCTAGGCCGGTCCCTCCAGCTGTCTTCCTTCTTGCCTCTTTGCCGAGGTCAGTTTCACCCAGCAAAAGTGCTTTAGCCACCACCTTCCATTCCTTATTGTCATTCCCGCTGGTCGATGGCATCAGAATCCATGCCCTGGTCCATCCGCAATCCCCATCTACCAGATCGGTTGGAACAGCAACTTGCATCTGACTTTCAGAGCTGACTGCACTGAAATTTTGCGTCAACAAGAATTGACTGAGAATTGCAACGTCTCCCTCCATTGTAGATTTGATTCGGGCTATAGGAGCAGACATCCAGAAGATTGACCGCGGGTCGGTGATCCATGTTATGAGGCCGAGAGCTGCTTCGATGGAGTACGCGTCCTCTTGATCTCTCGGTTTCTCTTGGAGAGCCCGTTGGAACTCCTCAGACGGCATTCGGAGGTCGTCGTTAATCTCGAAATCCGCAAAAATCCCGGTGTTGTAATTCCAACGAATCACTTCGCCTTGGAGTTGCAACCAGATACGCTATGCAAGGCCAGCCCCGCCCGCTAATATTGAAGCTAGAAACTGACGACGTGGCGCTTTCATTTCTTCGTCGGTACGGAATGCTGGCATTCGCATGGCCTCTGTTCTGAGGGGGGGCAGAGTGCTCTTGATAGCGCCCGGGAAGATCCTGTAGGTCGCGTTGATTTCTTCTTCGCTGCACCCTGTAAATGAGCCAGTAAAAAACATCATGTCAAGTTCCACCCGGTCTGCAGAAACTTTGTGAATGCCTTTGACATTTCCAAGAGCAAACTTGTCCAGCGTCGTATCAGCTGCCGCAATGGACCTATTTATCCATGACAGTTTCCCTGAAACTTTGAGCGGCTCTGAATTAACGAACGACAAAACGACCTTTTCTCCTGCCGCCAGTGACAGCAGTACAGCAAGGTGGTACACCTCGTCCTCGGTGGGCTCATGCTGCCGAAAATATACCAGGCCGATTCCAATTAGGTTGATGCATACGGAAAGCCTGTCGCCAGGCATTGTGCACGCTGTCTGACACACGGCGTTGAATCGGGCCATGAAGCTAGAAATCAGGGCACCGGCTCGAGGGTGGCGGCTTTCCATAAGGGGAGAAGTTCGATTTGAAAAGCCGGCAAGAATCGGGTTGAGGTACTGGCTGTGTTCGTTTCGATGGCCTAACTGGATGGTGACTGTTGCTAAGATGGAATGCAAAGTCGACCACTCCACCCTCAGAGTTCTTGTCTCGCCAAGACCAATTACAAACACAGTATTGTGGACAGTTTGGTGCCTCTTGTCGCTCCATAGCTCACTGACAACGAATTCGTGAAAGCACCAAGATCGCTGCCACCATCGAGCCGCCGCAACTTTATCATGCAACGAGATAAGCAGAGTGGCTTCCGTAGAGTCCTGCGGGCGGTGATCATGTTTATAGGCGAAGGCCTCATACTTTTGGCACAGATCAGCTTCATCCTCTGTAAGCTCAACATCTTCAAGAAGAACCACTAGCTTTCTGCATGTCCTGTAGATGACATCCATACACGCGATGGCAAGCTGCTTCTCACTGTTGTTTTCTTGGTCGATGCAGATCTGGTCCATCCACATACCCTCTCGCACATGCCCACGCTCAGATACAATGGCTTCTGCGAAGCGCTTGCCAATTGGCCAAATACTGTCAGGAGCGGGCGCTGAATGGGGTGTGGCGGGCCATCCCGAATTATGCCAGCTGTAGCTGATGGCGAGGTATTGTCTGATGACAAAGCTAGCGTCGAATGGATGCATGCCCTGAGGAGTAGGTTCCGTCGCGGTTCCAATTGGGTTCTCAACTGACTGCTTCGAGCAAATTACTCGAAAGGGCGTTTGAATGATGGTGCTTGAAGTTCGCTGTGAGAATGACTTGGCCACGTTGGGTGCCCAAGCTTGGAGGTTATGCAGGGTAATTTCGGCCTCTTCGTGAGTACAGGCCAGTCGATCCAAAGCATCTGCGAACAAATTTGCCTTGTTTTTCTCCGTTAACGAGATTTTAAAGAGGTCATTTGCAATCTGCTCAACCCCAGTCGCATCGCCATTGAAGGATGGAGATGGTTCGGCCATTTTTCCCGCCTTCGGTTCTTGCAGTTTGTAATCAGCTGAGATTGCCTGATCCCAGGATCCGGTTTTGAGTCCATCTGCAAAGCTTAGCTAATCCAGTCAGCTCTCTTCAATCATGGACGGCGGCATTTTAGCCGTTCCACAGCTTGGCATGAGGGGTCAGGCGCCTGCCTGCAAGATATCGGGTTAAAGTGCTCTGATCTGGAGGCCGCACGCAATTTAGTTTTCCGCTGAATCATAGTCTGATGACTGTGTGTCGCACCTACATATGCAAGATAGATAGGTAGTCCTCAACTTATCTCCGGCGGCCCTGGTCAAGTCATAATCTTTGGAGTTCTTTGCGTCTGCTTATCAGACCCGTTTCGGCCTCCCAAACCTGCCTCTTTCGTGTGTGGAAGGCTACGGCAGTAGTAACTTAACCCATATAATATCAGTTTCGCCATTCAAAAATGACCTTTCCAAACATTCTTCTTCTTCTCCAACCATACGTACAGCTCAGCTCTAGCGGACCGATCAACTCACCAGACCTAGCTTCTGATTACTATTGCCAAACATCACAATGGTGCAGCGACTTTCTCGAGATGCCAGCTTGGAATCTTTCATTGGTGCCATCGAACGCGATGGGTGTGTCGTCGTTAAAGACTTTGCCAACTTGTCGTCGATTAAGGCAGCAAACGCAGAAGTCCAGTCGTATCTCGATGCCTCCCGCGCTCAATCGGGCAGCACAGTTGGCGCTTTGAATGGAGGAACTGCTACGTGCACCAGGCTAGTAGGTCGAAGCCAGACAGTGCGAGAAACGTTCTTCTCCGATGCCCTTTTTCAGGTATACAGAAGACTATTATCTCATCCATCATCTTGACTTTCGTTACTTACGAGATCATATTCGACAGAGCCTTGCTGATCACTTCATCGGTCTTGAAACTGAAATCTGGTATGGCGACGAGCCAAAGGTCCAGCGGTCCGATCCTCTTCTTTCAATATCTATCACCATGTCTTCACAGCCTGGATGCAAAGCGCAAAAGCTTCATCGTGATGATAAAAATCACCATGCCAAACATGTCAAGGCAGATGAGTATTCCAAAGGTCGAGACATGCTCTTGGGTCTTTTTGTTCCCGGGTGCGACACAACTGAGGCGAATGGTGCAACCCGCATCGTTCCTGGCTCCCACCTTTGGGGCGATGAGAAGCCAGATTTTGGTCCAGACGGGACGAAGGGAGTTGAGAATGCCGAACTCAGAGTTGGAGAGGCATTCATCATGCTGGGCAGTCTTTACCATGGGGCTGGGGAATATTCTTTGTCAAATGGATGTCGCACCGTACACATCATGTTCATGTGCAGTGGCGTTCATCGCCAAGAGGTAAGCCAGCTCCTCGACTCACTAGATATCCATGAAGGGCTTGCCGAGCTAACAAATTGTATCAAGGAAATTCCATTTCTTAGTTATCCGATCGAAGAGGTCAAGACATACTCGAAACTCGTGCAGGATCGTCTGGGCTGGAAACAGTCAGAACCCAATCTTGGTTGGGTTGATTTGAAATCCCCGGAATTTCTGCTTGAACAGTGATCATCAACTCTTCTTGCACTATTTGGCTGATTCGTTGCCTACCAAAAGATTGCTCTTCAGAGTGTCAAGCAACTCATGTCACATACGTTATGCATTATGCGCAGCAGCGTAGGGCATTTAGCACGGAGGCCAATACACAATCATCGAGGGTGCTCACACGACTTCAGACTACTCTTGTATTATTAACTTTCTATCCGCTACGATGCCTCGATCCTGGCTCCATGAGACGAATGTTTCAGAAGGATGCAAATGCTTCCTCAAGAGCATGTCCTACCCGTGATTGCATGCATTACTGCAGGTGCCGCTTTGCTGGAGCATCTTCGGCTAGAGCCTGGTTAATGGTTGGCGTAATTGTGTGAGCTTTGTTTTCAACAGGTTCAACCCCATGTTCTTGTCGGGGGCGGCCTTCGTTTGGAAGCATAATGGCCTTGTCTAAGGCATATGGCAGTCCACGATGTCGACCACGGATCATCATGGCACAAACGACCAGCTTGCTGAAGGTAGTGAACTCGCCAGAGAGTGATGTCATGACCGAAGGGTGCCCAAGGGACAACCCAACGTTGCCACTACGGGTAAAGTGAGCGATACAAAACATTCAGAGAGGGGTGGGTTACTTGCTATGCGCTGACTACTTCGAAAAAGACCGGGAACACTGAGAATGCCTATAAAATCAAGTATCAGCACAGGCTTCCGTGGATAGTGGTGAATTTGGTACGCACTGGTTCATTGAGATCCATGATTCTCTGGGATTCTGCGATACAGATGCAAAATGTACCAAGAAAGATGTACCAGAGATCAAAGCTCAATTGGTTCCGAACATGGGTCATAACATACGAAGCCCCGTTGTTTTCATCCAGATGGCTGTCGGCCTCGTAGACGCCAAGGGCTCGTTCTTCATAGGTGTTTGATGCCCGAATGCTAATCGCTATTGGGAAGATCGCGATGTACATCATGCACAACAAGCTGAACTGCACGGCGGGATTGACCAGGGATAGGTTCAGTGTCGACGTGCCAGTGTGGCGTGATGACGCAGCTTGGAATAAAGCTGATAGGATTCTAGGCCCCATTGCCAAATCATTGACGGCAGGGTTGTCCAAATCCAGAACGATGATCAACAAAACGTCAATGAAGTTGAGCAAGAAGACAATGCCGAACAGGATCCAGGTGGGTCGGCTCGGAAAGAGTAAAGTGTAGCATCTGCGGGGATGGTCGAGCAGAAACTCAAGGTGTTCTTTCGTGGCCGACTTCTTGTTCACGACCCTTGACATGACCCAGATTACTAGTCGCAAGAGCACTGGATATATCGTATTTCCCGCAAACGCAAGGAAGGTCATGGCGAGCATTGGCCAGGTGGCGTCTTTGAATGTCGACATCGAGTCCGGGGTCAGGGTGAACCCGAGATTATCAACCATAGTCTGGGCAGAGTAAAAGGCCCACCATACTTGGCCTTGTCCGTTCTCCAAAAGCCATGATTGGTACTTTGGGGGAGCGTGTAGAATCCAAGGCAAGAGACAGATGACTCCAAATACGTGAAGCCCGACGAAGTAACCTACCGCTAAATCAGCCAAATCTGTTTAGATATTGTGGGGGGTTATGCAGGCGTATACTAAAAACAATCTTCAGAAGGAGCTTCAAGCTTCTATATTCGATACCGCCAAGTAGCTCACGATCTCGCTCTGTGAGGTGGAAGAACTGGGAATTGCGGCCCACGGTCACCTGGCGAGACAAGTAGGGGAGATCTGCTGTGCGTGGCGGCCGGGGTCGTGTGGACAAGTCAGAACGGCGCGATTCACGGTCGAGAGACTTTGAGTGGCCAAGCACCAGAACAGACGAAGCTACTTTCTCCATCGAGCGAGCGGCGCGCATTGCAGGACCTTCCATGTTGTGAGGTCTTCGCCGAGACAAGCCGCTTGCGACTGGTTCAACGGGACGGATGGCATCAATGTCTAAAACGGCGGGTCAGCGGCTTCAATATTCGGATGACCTTGACAGAACCTATGGCTTCCATACCATCAATGCTCTCTCTATCTTGGCGAATTTCAATCATGGACTGGCCTGTGCACAAAAGATCTTAGCCCGATTCCCATGAAAGGTCAAACTGACTGATTACGTACCATCATCGCGGTCTCGAGGTCCTGGGACGTGGAGGACTGCGTTATCAGCAGTGGATTGGCCGCGGTTGGGGAGATTCTCCTCAAAGGTGATGGTGGTTGCTCTGGGACCAAATGCAAGCCCCGTATCCACGGTTTCATTCTGCTTCGATTCCGAAGGGCCAGTTTGAACAGCATTTTGCTCGGCATGTGTCTCATCCAAGGCGCTTTCGCGACCTCTCGCTTCGGCTTCCTGGTCGGGAGGACCCGCTTCTAGATCTTCGGCAGACCGGCTTAGGGTCCGCTCTTTGGCTTTGAGTACGGCGTCAGTATTCCAGGCTGTGAATGCTGCGTTAAGAGAAGACGCATTCACTTCTTACCAATGTTCTTCAGTCGCTGCTGGAACCAGTAGAGACGCGCCACGACAACCACAATGTTGATGAACATGAGATTAGTGATCATGGGGATCACATAGATGTACACTTGCTGGTAAGTCTTCAAGTTCTTGACGTCGATTCTACCGTATCATGATCAGTATGACATATACGAAGGAAAACGACATAGCAATCAAGTGACTTTGATGACTTACGTGTTGAGACCGGATTCGGTCGAACCACTGGCACCAAAGAAAAAGGCATCTATGGCCGCTAGATTTCCCGCAGGATACAGCACAGGAAATGAAAGCAGGCTACAAAATAGGATCCATGTGTCTGGAGATAACAAAAATAAGCCATTAGCTGGGACCCATGTACATCATATTCAACAAGAGAAAATGCAGGCGGTGACGAGGAGCATAATTATGCCAGCCAGGAGTGTGACTTACAATGGAGGGATATGAAATTCAACTTCGGCTTCCACATGGTTCGGTGAGATGGTGGGTAGTAAAATGCACGTGGGCTTAGATATGACTTCAAGTTGCGCTGATAGGAGCGTGGTCAATGAGAGGTTGTGTGGTGTTGAGGTTGCAGGAAATTGAAGCGCAGTGGGGGGCTGATGTTTATTTCAGGGCATGTGCATTAACCGTGGCACGGCGGCCTCTCCGCCTGCGGTATTTTCAATTGCTCCTGTCCAGCCAAGAAAGGGACGCGACATGGATACGGATAAGTGCATCCATATGAAATCGACGCGCACGCCAAGACTTCGATGTCCACACAAACAGAGAACCAACGTCCAATTGTTGGTCTGCTTCACAATCACGTCCAATCAATGTTCCAGATGAACCGACGCGCCAAGGGCTTGGCGAATATTCTTATATCGGAGCTTAGTCGTGTCTTCTTCGGTACTTCACATGGCCGGAATGAACTCCGAGGCTTCACTATCCCTAAGATGGTAGGCGTGGCCATTCGTTGACATGGATCTTATTTGCGGCATGATCAACGCTATTTTGTCAATAGCGTAGCTGAGTTGATGCAAAACCCGCCTAAATAACACAATCATCTTACCTGTCGCCAAAATCTCATCATCGGTGTTATTCACAAGGCTCTTGAGCTGCTAAGGCTTGTTGCCAATGGACCAATCGCTTTGGGCCAACCGTCGTTTGTGCCTAGAGATGACGTAGACTGTAGCAAACATCCTGCAACAGGCATACTTTTGCCCTCGTTTTCCTCGAAACTCTGAGGCAAAACTCGTCAGCTACACTAGGCAGTGATTTATAGCTCCAGCCTGAAACCTATTTCAAGAAATCTCATAATCATCCGGCTGCAAAAGGCCATGCGTCAGAACGCCACGCTCATTACAGTAGCTTGCGGCATCTTGTCCTGCGTTGCAATCTCAGCGATGGCTTCAACGATTCCCCAAGATGAGATGTTAGAAATTGATACCACAATTCCAGGCGGTCTGGAAACGACGCGTGAGGAATTCCCACCGCGGCGGTCTCCTCTTCGCACAATGCGACAAGTCCACGACTTTCTCTCCAACAGCACCACTCTTAAGAGCATCAAACTTCGAGTCACTCTGCTTGGTTGTTCTAGCCATCCTGACAGGTATAACTTCCCATTTGACTTCCCTGCCGGCTCTCGTTATTCGTTCAAACTCGAGTCGCTCCAACTTGACGGCTACGACTTTGGCTACCAGGAGTGGAATAGGGTTCAGCCACCTAGCAAGCTATTTCCCTCTTACCCCCACAGCTGGGCTCCGGATGGCATTGGCAACTACTTCTGGTGGTACATGTCCGACTTGGCGACTAGGTATTATAAATGGCGCGACCTTCCCGATGACCAGAAGCATAAGACAAACCTCGATCAGTGGATAGAAGCAATGGACTTCTCCCATATCCGAGAGCTTGCGCTGAGAGACATCAGGGGGCAGTCTGTCGTTGTCATTCGGCTTCCCCCACTCCTCAAGTCCTTGACGTCCTTGACGATTCGGGGAGTTCACCATGCCCGAGAATTCGTTCTTGGGCTACCACGCGATTCGTTGGAGCATCTTTCTTGGATTTCTGGCTGCGGATGTAGGCAGAGCCATTTTGTGCTTGACGTAGTGGGGCACCATGCTCGTTCGCTTGCTCGCCTCGAACTAAGAGAGCCCGAGAACTCCTACCATCAACGGGAGGTTCTCCCGGCAGAGGAGCTTGCCTCCCTGGGTGATTTGGCGCCAAATTTACAAGAATTGACCATCGACCTCAACCGAAACGGTACTTGGCCAGTGGAAGAGCTGCAGTCAGTGGCCAAGCACTACCCTCGATTAAAGCGACTCACAATATACTTGGAGCTTGCCAGTGAGCAGCGAAGACAACACAAAAGCTCGGCGTGGCCTAGAAGAAGTACATGGTTGAGCGATGAAGGTAAAGACTTAGATAACATGGCCCGTCCATTGCTAAACAAAACGACTGGGATGGAACTTTTCGAACTTTTGCGAAAACAAAAAGTGGGCGAGGAGCTGATTCAGCTGAAGCTCTTTGCTGGAGATTGG